TTTTTAGACCTTTAAACAAAATCGTTCTTTCCGCATCTGCGGAGGTTCTCATAGGCATTTTATATATCTTTAAATTTTTGTATTCTTGATTTATTCTTTGGATTAAGTAGCATCTAATTTGTGCATTTGTGTTTGAATTATTTTAATTAAAAAAAATAATAATCTAATTTTCATCTTGACGCTTAAATCAACTGTCCGACGTCACGCGTAAAAAAATCGAGTGGAAATCAAGCGTATACGTAATTCGCTGTTAGCGTGCGATCAATTTACCTGTCCTAAATTATCAATTTATCATTGTATATTAATTCGCTGGCATTACACCGCAATATTTCGCTATTGTCCAGTTTTAAAAAAGAATACAGTTAAAAAGGGTCAACAGAGCTCTTGTGCCTGGTGACTTCGAAAGTTCCTGCGGTTTTACTGCGAATTCGGCAGCAACCTTCGGCCTCCGCCGTTTGGATGACGACAAAAGATGATCCGCCTCGGTGGAGTAAAGTGATTCAAGGCAATCAGCTTCGCCTATATTCGCAATTCCACGGATGAGGTCTAGGATAATTCACCGCGCGTGATCCTCCTTGCACCTGCTCGCCGCTAAATTCGTGACGAATTTGAGCGGCGCGCGTGTCGCACGTGCACATGTATATTCGTTCGCGCGAAAGAGGAACACGCGGCACGTGTGTAGCGGCGAACTGCATGCAGCTTCAGGCCAGGTTCGGACTTATTTCATTCCTCCAATGAGTCACGTCGACGATAAGAAGCCGAGAAGTCTGCGATTAATAACGGCGCCGACAACGTGCGCGATTTCATTACTTCATTTCGACACTGTGATGTAATAATATTATTATGTAATTCTATTATCATCAAACGAGATGCCATTTCATAATTTATTCATGCGAGAATCGTACCGTTATTTGATTGTATTTTACTCCATTTTATTACACTTCAGTATTTATATGTTGACAGAGAAAGAGAGAGAGAGAGAGAGAAATGAAAAGACGTGAAGACTCAGCCTGAGCTGTCTGGGCGAAGTTGTCTTCTCCGAAAACGCGCGACGAATATCCCATTCTTTATTTCGTAATCCTTTCTTTCATTGTTCATCATTCATCTTGTCGCGAGCGGCTCTATAACAGCTCTATAACAGCTCGCGGCTGTCCCCCTTCCGAGTCCGATCCTGCGCGCTTCGCAGTTCGCGGGAGCGTATGACCGCGGGCTGTGGGTCGTAAGGCCCCGGGGGCGCGTAACCGCGAGATAATTCGAGATCGTGCGATCTACGGGCGGACTGGAACGGATGCTGGAAATTAATTTTATTTTTCGTTTGACCTCTAATTTAAGAGCGTTAAAGAAACGCGCGAGGGCGCGCGCGCGCGCACGCGTGTGTGTGTGTGGGATCCGACAATTGGCCGAAACGACCGTCCCGAAGAAACTTGGAACGCGATTGCCACACGTACTTTTTCAAGTCGAACTTCGCCGAAAGTGAAGATTTAAGATCCGACGCTTCGGCTTTCGAACAATTGCATTGCGATCGAAATGATATTGGCCCGACGAAACTTTAGATCGGGATTCCCATGCTTATCTCATTTAATTTTCACTTCAAAAGTGAAGATTTTAACATGTGAAAGATCTGCGTGGGCCGTCATTGAATTCTTGAACGTTGTGACGGAGTGACCGTTTCTTCCGACAGAAACTTCAAACGGGAATGTTGTTCAAATTAATTTCTCTTAATTTCACCGAAAGTAAAAATTTAAAAATGTGAGATTAATAGACAATTTGTTTTTTTTTTTTTTTTTTTTAAGATCTGCTCGTGGGCCGCAACATGGCCTTTTGAATAATCATATTTGGCGGAGAAATACGAAGCGTCTCGAGATAGGTGCGTACGCGGGGCTTCAACGAAATAAGGCTTGCCGAAATATGTGCGAATTTCGCGCGGCGGGAAGCGGGGCGGGCGGGAGGGGTCGGTTTATTACTTTTCTCGGAACAACGACGCGAAGACAAGGCCGATGAGTCGCGGAAAGTGGCATAACTTTCCCTTTTTAAAGCGCGCCTTAAATATGACGTGCTTTATGTACCTATATATTCCATCCGTGGACGGGCCCTTGCGTGTCGCGCGAGCACGTGTCAATTAAAAGGCGCGCGACTAACACCGCGGGGATCTTTCGTTTCACTTTGGCAGTCCGCAAGGCCATGTCGCACGGTCCCTCGGGACCCGAGACACAAAGGGAACCTGCCTCTCCCGAGACCACTTCGATCTCGCCCGCTTCAATCGCGAATCAATTCTCGCGGGCAAAATCTTTTATTAAGGAGAGACTCTCATTAAAGAGGCCCCCCCTCTCCCCCTCCCTCTCGTTGAAGTTAAAAGCGGCCGGCTTCAGGGACACCCTGTGTTATACATTCGTCCGCGATAACTCTTTCTCTCCCGCGCGATCGCTCTCGCTCGATCGAGATCCTTAGACGAGTCCCTTAGGCGAATTTTGGAATGAACGGCGGCGCAAATTCGCAATAGTACCTTCTCTCGCCAGACGTCACGATGACGATTCGCCGATCATACCGCAGAAATCGTGCGTCGGAAATCGCGGATCAGCGAGCGAGACGCGTTGACGGGGGACCGAGTTGTTTGAGAGAGAGAGAGAGAGAGATAAAGGGACAAAAGAGAGAAGAGAGAGAGAGAGAGAGAGAGAGAGAGAGAGAGAGAGAGAGAGAGAACTCGCTTGCGTAATCGTGGTCGGCGCATATGTGTGCCGATCGCCCGCGGCGAGCCAAGACCTTGCCGAGGCGTGCATGAGAACTGGGCCGCGGTGCGTCGGGGCTCCGCATCGTAACGAACCCGGGCCCCTTGGGCGGCGCGGCGGGCCTCAGGACTTAGACGAGTCCGACATGCGAACGACGCCGCGAAGTCTGCGGAGTCGCTCGCATGCCGGATCAATCCGGAGGATTCCGTGACGATCCGGGATGCGAATTTGTTTGCGAAGAAATAGAGATACTTAGAGGTATATATGATCTGTCCCAAAAGTAATGGGAATAATTTTGAAAAAATTGTTTTATTGAAAATACACTTAATATTTTTCAGAGTGGGATCTTTGAGCGTCAATACAGTGATTTCATCAGCATTGATGCCGCTCTTCCTATTAGTAGCACAGGAAATTTTGACCGGACATGCCAGAGCACTCGTGTCGCGGCTGCTTGGATCTTGTTAATTGTCCCAAAACAGTGTCGGAGATTCCGTTTTGGGACAATTAAAAAAGTCCAAGCAGCCGCGACGAGTGCTCTGGAAGAGACATGTCCGGTCAAGTCTTCCTGCGCTACTAGGAAGAGTGGCAGCAACGTTGAAATCGCTACTTGTACTGACGCTCAAGCATCCTTGTACTTTGAAAAATATATTAAGTGTATTTTCAATAAAACTGTTTCTCCAGAATTAGTCTCATTACTTTTGGGACAGACCATGTATACATCCGGGATATTTCGAGAAAATTAATCAATATATATACATCCAGGAACTTTTATTAAATCGGTGCATCTCGACGCATCTCGTTGTACGTTATTTTCCTGTTCGCGTCGATCACTTTCAGGACGATTACATATCAACGCATTCTGGTGTAATTTTTATTGAACCAGCGTTTCAATGCGCACCTCCTTACACATTATTTGCAAGGCAATCGATTGTTGCGTGCGCGCATCGAGTCTAATGCGATTTATATCGCGCGCTATAATCACATTCGAACGATGTTATTATTAATGTAAAACATTTGCGTCAATATCGGATGGAAATTTACGGGAGCAATTTGCGAAGTGAGGCTATACGAGCGGGCTTTACAGGCAATTTGTACGTGCAAATTGTGGATATATGAATTAGATAGACCGGTGCACCGCGTTCACCTACCGCATCGACCATCTGCTATCGATTAGCAACCGCATGCAATACCGCTATAAATCAAGCATCGACTCTGCTCTAGATGCACCACGTGTCCGCTCCGGCGCTCAATTAGGATCGTGTGCATTAACGAGCATCATCAAGGCACCCCGCAAATGCACACGTGTATAACTGCGGAAATTTTAATTACATTTTTGTTTCTCATCTACTATACGCGTTTAGCCTCTAGCTTTTACTTCACTATATTTGCATTTCAATTAAATGCAACATCGCATTGCAACAAGATGTTTTTTTTTATCGAAATACTCTCGCAAAATAGTCTTACAATTAGAGACGTTCCTAATGAAGATCACTCTCATCCAGCTACCTGCGAGAGAAGGTCGGACGTGCCCGAGATTACGTCTCGAATCGTTCATGCGATCTCTGCGTAATTACGCGCCGAGCTACGTAAGGGGAATTTACAAGCAGGCGCGTTATGCACGCACACGATGTGACGATTGTCAAAACGACGCGACGTTGAGCGTTGAGAAACTTCGTAAGAGATAAATTCAAAAAATGAATTTTGTCTCTTTCCCCCCTTTTCTCTCCTTTTCTTTCTTCCTCTTCCCCCCCCCTACCCTCCTCTTTCGGCGGCGGGCGTGGGACTATGCGATTGAGAAAGAAGCTTTAGAAATTTTCTCACGGGCCCGGGTTTTATTAGCCGCAAGTTCGCCAATCGAGAAGTGGATCGTAAACCACTCCCGCAACCAGTTTCTAATGGAAGACACAACAATAGCGTGACATATGATATGACCATAACTGACGAAGTAACAATCTTGAAAGTTGTAATGAATAAAAAATTACGACGAAAAGATCGTATCTTATTTCCTGATCCGCTCACAATTTCAATTTGTGCGGATTATATAACGTTATAATTGTTACTATTGTGCTGTAATTAAAATTTGCAAAAGTTACAAAAACAACTTGAATTTGATGTACACATAATAATTAATATCGTAATTATTACGTGAACATTAAATTTAAGTTGTTTTCGTAACTTTTACAAATTTTATACAAGAGAAAAAGAGCGCGAGCAATTAAAAATTTACAATTATATTTATTAACGACTTAGAATATCTCTTTTTTTCTATTTTAGGCTCTAGGTCCGATTTCCGGATGTCACGTGAATCCGGCTGTGTCGTTCGGTCTACTGGTGAGCGGAAATTGCAGTCTCCTCAAAACCGTCTGTTATGTGGTTTGCCAGTGTTGCGGCGCTATAGCGGGATCCGCTGTTCTCAAGGTATGTAAAAAAAAAAAAAGTTCACCGTGACATCCGATTCATTTCTTTTTGAAGAATTCGAGAAAATTAATCTAATATATGTTTGTTAATTTCAAAATCAATTTTCCTATCACCTAAATAAAAATTCTCCAAGTAAAAACAAAAAAATGCCCCAAAAAAAAAGATCGGATTAAATAGTGATTTAAGTTCATCCAATTCTATTATTTAATTAAGCTGTGAAAGGTAAGTGTTATGCACGTCGGTCTTCATCTTCATTAAAAATTTCTTGTTTTTTTACTTTTGACCAATTGAAATTGCTTAGAAATTTGAATCATCGAACATCGCAGCTGGCCGCGTTGCGTAAGCTACAAAAACTCGAGGAGATCGTCGGCGCGTCGCCCGTCCGACATTTTCATTTAAGCGCGCTTACGTTCCTTACACGCCGCGCGTAATCACAATGATTGTCCGGCCGAAGCGTGAAATTGATCGTTGATAGCCTGTCATTTCGATTTGGCGCGGGACCCCGAAAGCGCCCCGTCTCACCCGTATCAATTAAATCGCCGTTGTGCAAGGTCAAGGTCCGCGGCCTCTCCTCCCCGGGCCCGCCGGTCGACCGCTCGTTACATCAGAAACTGGTCGTGGCCGTCGTGGCCAACCAGCTGGATCACGCCGCGGCTCGCGAGGGGACAACGGCGCACGTGCGTGCGCTCGCGCGATGATAGTAATTTACGTATCTTTTACAGCTCGAATTAATTTCGAGGAATATAAACTCGACATTAAATACTTCAGCTTCTTAATGCTTATAATCTACACGCTCCGCCATTGTAATCTAACTTATAGTAAAGGAAAAATACTCAATAACGAGAAAAAATGATACCCCACGTCGTGTTCCTTTCGCAGGGAGTCGATTGATCACGTTGCAATTGACCACAGTCGCGATTGCTCACGTTGCGATTGACCACGTCGCGGTCAATTGTAACATGGTCAAATGGAACGCTCCTCTTTCTTCTCTCGTGTCAATTCGATTAATTAATGAAATCGTTAAGGTGCAAATTCAAGAGACGCTCGTTTTAGCGTTAAAGCCACGGCACACAAAAAAACTTAATCAAAACTCAGTAAGACGTAAGCAGTAAAGAAATCAACATGTTGAATTTTTGGTAATCACGTGTGACTTCGACTTTGACGCTAGCGTCAAAAAAAGAAGCTGGATTTTCTCAGCTTCAGCGTCAAAGACTGTTGTTATTTTGTTCTGAACATTTTAGATATACGAATTATACGATTGAACTTGATATTGCCGCTTTTTGTGCAAGTCAACTATCATCACGTAATTTTAACGCCAAAAATGAGCGTCGAGCGTCAGCATGAAAAGGCACCTTTTAAAGAAGTTCGTGAATTTATCGTGAACGATTTTGGAACATTGCGAGCAATCTTATAATTCGTTCCCAGGTAGCACAGGAAGTTCAAAAAAGAATTCAGTCATTTGTCATCAGTTCTGAGCTCATTTTCAGATGCAAAAGAATTCCTTTTATAAAGAAGTTCTGAAAATGAGCTCAGAATTGATGACTGAATGTACGAATGAATTCTTTTCGAACTTTATCTGAGTTATACCATTTCGATCCGTGAAAATTCCTCTCTTCTTCTCCCGCACGACTCATTGATTCGTTCTAACCGAATCGTTCTTTCGTCCAGCTGATTCTACCTAAAACGCAAGTCGCTCAGGGCCTAGGCGTCACCGCGTTGGACTCCAACGTAACCGCGGCGCAGGGCGTAGGGATGGAGATAATCATCACGTTCCTACTGGTGCTGGTCGTGCATGCCGTCACGGATCCCAAGAGGACCGACGTGAAGGGTTGGGCCCCGCTCGCGATCGGCCTGACGATCGCGGTGGCCCACATGGCGGCGGTGCCCATCACCGGCAGCAGCATGAACCCCGCCAGGAGTCTCGGCCCGGCCGTGGTGGACGACAAGTACGAGCATCTGTGGATCTACTGGGTGGGCCCGCTCGTCGGCGCCGGCGTGGCCGGCGTCGTGTACAGAATGGGCCTGAGGGCCAACAGAGAGGACGACGAGGGCTCGTACGACTTCTAGGAGCGACTTCCGAATTCTATACGAACGCTCGAGATGGATTCTGATAATAGTATTCTGCGCAGACCGCAGGTCTCCGCGGTGTAAATAAAGAAGTAGAATTGGTGAGGATGACGAGAGAGAGAAAGATGTGACAACCACGCGACACGGTTACGCGATCTTCATCCGTTGCATTTAACGGCAATTAACAAGATTCGCGAAGAAATACGATTTGTCGAAAATATTTCTTAGTGGAATTGAACGCTGCGGATTAAAGGGGAAAATTAGAGTCTTGGACTCGATGCGGAAGAAAAACAATTGTTTCTGTTAAAATTATTTTTGTATAAATTTTCTTTCAAAAATCTATATTCAATATTTCGTACCTATGTCTTATCGTAATGTTCTAGTTTATCTGGAAATTAATTACATTATTTACATTCATTTACCAGTATTGAATGATGTCTAGTACATTATTTGTGACGTAGAGTTCCTTTAATCGACAGCGTTCAATTGAAAAAAATTCCAATTAAAGAAGCAGAAATACATCGATATTATTGTATAATGCACAACGTACAAAAAATTGCAGAATAATTTAATATTAATATTTTGGTAATATTATTATATGTATATTAAATATAATAACGGAGTAAGAAATGTATATGATATTATCATACATACGTCAAAAATTCCCTTTCTCCCGTTTTAAGAAATTAGTATTTTAAAGTATTCCCTTAGAATATGCAAACAGAGATTTCTTCAATCATTATTATCAGAGTGTAATATCGTGACGCCGACATATTTCGAGATTATTTATCAATCGACACCTTCGTTTCGTACGAATTTTATAAGTGCATCCGCTATTTTGTACATCGCCAATCTGAGTTTTGTATATATATCGTTAACTTAAGATAACTCACGTATAGCGATTGATTTAACGATCTAGATAAAGACGTAACGTAGTCTAGCGTTTAATTAGTTTACAGTGCATTCCGACACAATGACAACAGCGTTAACAAATATATTTTACCGTCAGTACTACTTGCGTTTTTATTTCTCGTCCCCCTCTCCGAAATAATAACAGCACATATAAATTTCATTAAATGCAAATAGCTCTGAAGGTCGAAGGGAGCGAGGCGTAAGAACAGGTATAATTTGGTCATTATAATTCAGGACGTCGGATTATAGTGACCAAATTACACCTGGATTACGTTGTCGTAAAGTTCCGTTGTCGCCTATGAGGAAGGCGTTACACGTTCCCGTTTTACCGCGGCGCGAACACCCACATTAAGATCGAAAGTATCTCAAAATAGCGTACGCCGAAATAGCCGCGCGTAGTTTTCGCTAGAGCCAGACACGCCACCAGAGGAGCCAGTAACTTCGAGTCGTCGCTCAGGGCTATGCCATTGGAGTGCGTTCTCCAATTGGTGATTCTAATCAATTTCATATCATCTCTACATGTGATTTTGCCGAGAAATTAATTCGAGAATTAATCGCAAAAAATTAGTAAAGATATATAGTTCGACGGAGTAAAATGTGAAAATAAATATTATTGATTATTATAAATATCTGTACTAATAATTATCAAAATAATCCTGGAGTTTTAATTAATATTAGAAGATATGTTTCAATTAGTAACTCTAAAGAATTTTGTCAAATATGATTCTGCATAGTTAATATAAATAAATAAATCCGTAATTAATAGATTAATACTTCTCCTTAATTCGATAAAAATAGAAATATATTAATATATTATTATATAAAATCATCCAAGTGCTAATACATTGCAATTCTGTTTAACACGTGTAATTCTTAGTTCTTATCACGCATTAATAATAAAGAACAATACTTAAAAATATCATGTCGGGAAATGAGTTGGAACCGGAAATCGCTGGATTTTTCCGCTCGAATTTATTAGCGGTGAGAAAGGCGATTCGCCAACAAGACTTCAAGAAATTCGCTGCCCTCGAATCAAACGCTGAGAGGGTGGCTTTCGTTTTGAACTACTCCGAGGCACATGAATTACCCCTGGAGATGAAGAAACCTATGATCAAGGATCGCGACAGTGCTATTCGATTGAAAGACGTCGGGAATAAATTTTTTGGTCGCGGGGAATTCGCGAAGGCCTTGGAAACGTATTCGAATGCAATTCTTCTAGCACCATCAACAGGTAGGCGTATATATAATATTCGTTATTTTTATTTAGTATATAATTATGTCTACCTAATTTGCATTTAGTATCTGTAATTAATAAGGATTGGAGACATTACCTTAAAAAAGTATTAAAAAAGTAACACGTTACTGTTACTGATAATTGAAAAATAACGATTCGTTACTTTTTCGTTTTTTATTGTAATACTAAAATAAGTTTAATTAGATTTATTATTATTAGATTTTATTATTATTTTATTATTATTTATTTATAGTATTATATTTATATTATTTATTATTAAATGTAATAATAAATAAAATTTAAAATTCTAAACAAGTTTATATATAAAACAAGTTTTTCTTTATATTATGTTTATTTTTACAGAAAGTTAAGTTTATTATTTTAAAATATTAAAGCCATTATTAAGAGTGCATTCCAATATTCACTGTTACATTAAAAATCTATTATACATGTAATGAGAATTATAAATTTTTAATACTGATAGTGGCTATGGAAATGTTTAAGAGTACAAAATATAGAGTTTTGAAAAATATTTTTTTCAAAAAGTAAATTAAAAATATATTATAAAATAAAAATATAAAAATATAAAAATTAACGCCAAATTTATTACCGTTACTGTAAAAATATAATATTACCGTTACCGTTACAGAGAGAAAAAAGTAACAATCGTTATTGAAATAAAATAACAAAAACGGTAACGCGTTACTTCCCTACTCTGAAATTAATACAATATTATGTAACTGCAATATTATATTTTGAATAAGATAATAAAATAATATTCCGGGTTATAATACGCCTATCAAAAAAAAATTACCGTCTTTTTTTCGCATGATTTTTTCGAAAGGATTTATCAATCCTGTTGACTTAAATAGCAATTTTTTCGTTAATGAATTACTTTATTCGATATTTTACATAAATATCATTAAATATCGTATAAAAAATGTTTGATTTTGTAAAACTAAAAACATAAGTAAAAGGGGGGGGGGAGGGTTGAATTTTTCCTTTCCTTGGATATGCCCATGTTTTTTCGTATATAATTCCATAACTTATTCGAAAATTTATGTTGCGATTATCCTAGCGTTATTCGATCACTGATAATTAAATCGTTCGTGATTATCAATCCTAAGAATGTGAAATCTAAATGTCATAGAATTAAGCGTCATTTTGGCGAATCGCTCGGCTACATTATATCACTTGGAGCGTCACGAATACGCGTTGGAGGACATCGAGGAGGCCTCGCGACTCGGTTACCCGAAGGAACTTTTCTATAAACTCGAGGAGCGACGGGCCAGATGTTTATTGGGCCTGAAGAGGCACGACGAGGCGGTCGAGGCGTTCAGGCGGGCTCTTCAGCTCCTGGACGACGCCAAGATACCCTTGGAGCGTAAGCAGAAGTTGGAGGCGGACATCAGGGTGATGCTCGCGGTGATGGACAAGGGTAAACAGCTCAACGAGGCCGCCGCCAAGAAGAATCCCCCGCGAGTTCGCGACAAGCAAGAGTCCAACGCGCGTTTGGAGGACAGATTTATCCCCGAGAAGCAGAGGAACCCCCTGTACCCCGCTTGCAGCAGAGCGGTGGAGATCAAGGACGACGGGGGTGACATAGGTAGACACGCCGTGGCGACCAGGGAGATAGCGCCCGGCGAAGTCGTGATCGTCGAACGACCGCATTGCGCGTCTCTGCTGGCGGAGAACAGGTATAAATCCGAAATATCGGGCTTGATCATATATATTAGAAGTGTGCATTAGTTTTGAGGGATTTTTTTCTCAAAAATTGATTTACTATACGAATACCTTAATGACCATATAATCAAAATATTTCCCTTTGTTTTCTATAACTTTTTCTGGCAAGAGATGGATTCCGCGACGATAAAAACATTTTTCTTCGGTATTGATACAATTTTTTCAAATTTTTACATTTTTTCGAAATTATAAAAGTGCGTATCCTCTAGAGCATGTATGTGTATCGATCGGAACAAGAGATAATCAGCGAGGTGCGGTAAGACTTCCCATTTCAGCTTTAATAGCGTTTGCTTCACTAATAATGCAACATGAGGAAAATGTCGTTTACGAAACTCCATTTTTAAGATGATATAAACACGATGTTTACCGCGTCTATTGTTAATAAATGATTAAATATCATGAAGTAATGTTAAAGCATTAAGAAACAATAGCTGGAATGTCTTCGACAACACCGACATTATCTTGCAAAATCTTTAAATCTAAATCACACTCCTAATATCTTGGCAATCTACTTGTTACGTTATTTGGTAATACTTTTATTTTTAATCACGCGGAGAGAATTTTATTTTAAAATTTACCCTGAAATTTTATGTTAATCGTAGGAGAACATAGTATTTCGATAAATTTTATATAATTTTCACTATTTTTTTAAATATATACTACAACAAATTGTAGTGCACAGTAAAAAAAAACAGAAAAATCATATAGAATTTGCCGAAATACTATGTTGTCCCACGATTAACATGATTTTCTGGGTAAATTTTAAAAGGAAATTCTCTCCGTGCACTGTTCCCATACAGTACACCAACTTGCAGCAACGTTGCAATATTGTTACAACATTGCTCGAACGTTTAGGACCCGATTTAGATTCTATACAGTATCGAAGATTTGATGAATTCAAGATTTCGTAGCTGTTGTCGAAACTATTAGTTCGTCTTATCTTTCTTTTTATTTCGCTGCCTCTGCTTTATTTTTTATTCTTTCTTTTTTCTCTCTTCATCGCAAAAGTCGCGGTTGCGCGAAATTTTGCCGCGACTAAAATGCACGCGACATTCGACTTTCAAGGCTCACGCATTGCCACCTGTGCTTCGCGAGAATATTCGTGCCGATGCCGGCGGCTTGTGGCACCTGCAACCACGTCGCGTATTGCAGTCGCCGTTGCAGAGATGCAGACACCCAAGTACACTCGCGGGAGTGCAAACTGCTGCCGGCTCTGTGGCACTCGAGAGCCTCGGTCACGTGCTTCCTGGCCCTAAGGGCGATCACACAGAGATCATTCGAGGAAATTACGAGGCTGAAGGAACGATTTAGGGATCCCGGAAGCACGCCGAAGATCTCCGCGGAGAATCCGTATCGGGGAGACGATTACGCGAATACCTTTTACAATTTAGGTAACTGAGTACAATAAAAAAAATATATAAATATTCTTTAAATAATTACGTATCTGTGATAATGTGAAATAAAATGGATAAAATAAATTCCAGATTAAGCTAGCAATTAAAATAGTAATTAAAATAGTAAAAACTAGCAATTAAAATAGTAATCAATTTAAAAGTAAATTTTTGATTGAACAAATATTTTATCATGCATGTTTAATCTCGCGATTTTTTTTACAGAAGGATGTCGTTAGATTTATTTCTTTCGATTAATAAAGTTACCAAGAATCTTACTTTGAACTTTTTTTTAAAACAACTGATACTCTTTTCTCTTTTATCGATAAATCAATTATTTAAGTACAAATTATTTACAAATTATCTTTCTTTTTGATGTGCTGATTTTTTTTTCTTCATATTTTATATATTATTCTAATAGTTACTCACGAAGACAAAAGGCTGCCGGAGGATATTTTTCACAGAGCCTACATGGCGGCCTGGTTGTTCAGATTGTTAAGATTCAGCAATTACTTGCCGGAAAACGTGAAAACCGCCGATTCAGCGGACAGTAGATTGTCAGACGAGGAACTGTTTATCGCGGGACTGCTGTTACACAATTTGCAGTTATTGCAATTCAATTCGCACGAGGTAAGAACGACGCGTGATACAACATAATTCGCTCGTACTTGATTATTGCTTGAAAAACGTGCGTCATTGTATCTGTTCCCGCAATTACTGACCGTTAATTCGTTTTCTAGATTTCCGAACTGGTAAGGCCGAAAGGGGAGAAGACACTTGCTAAGGCCAAGAGCGTGTTCATAGGCGGTGGCGTTTATCCTACGGTGGCGATGCTGAATCACTCGTGCAATCCTGGCGTAGTTCGGTAAATAATGCTCTATTCTCTCCCGTCGTTTTATATAACTTTTATATAACGTTTTATATAACGGTTTATATAACGTTTTATATAACTGTGTATTATTATTAACTATACAGACTAAACTAAAAATTTTTAAATCCGAGATATTTCATCGGCACCACCATGATCGTACGCGCTGTTCGCACAATCGGCGCAGGTGAAGAGATCTCTGAGAACTACGGTCCTATCTTCACAACCACGTCCGAGACTGAGCGGAAAAGAAAATTGAGGGTGCAATATTGGTTCGATTGTAGTTGCGAGGCGTGTTCGGGGCACTGGCCACTTCTAGATGAATTGGACCCAACAGTGCTCAGGTATTTATCAACTTTCTCAGATGCAGTTTCAGGTTGTGTAATCGATATTGTTGATATTGTTTGGTTATTTTTTTGCGCATAATAAGCGAATCTATTAATTAATATTATTAATTAATAGAGTTGTAATGAAAATGTTGATTTGCACACAGAAAGAATTTCCTTTTAAAATAGTGAAAATCACATAAAATTCGTCGAAAACTATGTTGTCCCACGATTAACATAATTTTCAGAGTAAATTTTAAAATAAAATTCTCTTCGTGCAGTAATTATTAATGTTAGTTATATTAAGTAATATTATTAAATAGTAATTAATAATATTACTTGTACAATTGACTAAATAACTGTTAACATATCCAAATAAGGAGTGATAGTATTGTTCCGTATGAGAGTAGTAGTTAAAAGTCTCAAGTTTGAATTCGATTGTCACCCCATATATGCATCATTTCAAATTATATATAAGTATACTTTATATTGAGATAATTCGATATTTTCTGAAATTTTTTTCTCAAAAAGAATTTAAGTTTGAAAGAAGACGAAAGAAGATTTTGTCTTACTTTTCAAAGGTAGTTAAAGATGTATGTATTTTGTCTTACTTTACAAAGGTAGTTAAAGATGTATGTACAAATTAAGTCGCTGCGTGCTGATTCGCGTCCACTTGTTACGGAAAGGTTGATTGAGAGAAAGACCAAACATGGTGAATGTAACCAGCATCTAACAGTCGAATGTGATTGCTTCTTACCTATCTATGCACTTATTGGATGTACTATTGAAAAATGATCGTCATCTGTATCACACGAGGCATAGCAAATGTTCACGTTGCTTGAAATCTCTATATATCCACACAAATAAAAAAAAAATTTAGAATAATGTATAAGAGATCAGAAAAACTATTATTTTATCTTATTAATAACATATCGGTAATTTTACCTCACATCATCCTTGTTTCTCCAGATTTAAATGTGAGACTGGACCGTCCTGCGGCAACGTATTGCTGGTCAGAAGCGACGCGAACGAGTTCATGATCGGATGCGCGAAGTGCGGCAAGAGCACGAATATCCTGAAGGGCTTGAAGGCTTTACAGGACACGGACGCGCTTTTCAGGGTCGCGTCGACGAATCTCGAAGAAGGCCGAAATGAGCAGGCGCTGAAAGCTTACTTGGAGATCTTGAAGCTACTGGACGAGACTCTAGCATTGCCTATCAGAGATTACCACGTCTGTCAGCAGGGGGTCAGACTATGCACGCTTGCCTTGGGCAATATAGCTTATATCTAATCTCGAATTGTGGAGCTATCAAAAAATTTACGCTGTAATCTTTTTGCAATATATAAAGACGCGCAAATTTCTTTTGCAGTCAAGTGTAACAATTTGATTTCAGATTACTTTCTTAATTCTTTTACGAGAATGCCTACAAAGAGCGAAAGTGAAGAATAAAAAAATTTTTGTTATAAAAATAAAAAAATATATAAAATAATTTTCGTTTAGAATTCTTCCTTCAAAAGAATCGTACAAGATTTTCGAACTGACGAAAAAACGCGCGCACACACGCACTTACATTTACGTATTTAATTTTTATAATATTCACTTGTTTCTTAATCACTACTGTTATCCAGTCTATGTAAAGAAAAAAAGACAATCGTGCAAATTTCATGCTCGTAATATCCAAAGAAAAATTTGATCAAATTTGACACCTTTATTTATTATCATTCACAAGTTTATTTGTGGTCTTATACAATCAAAAACACAAAGCCAATACAAACTTTTTTACAAAACAAAAATTCTTACACTCTTCTCATCCTTCCATCAAAAACATTGAATTACCAAAAGTTTTTTAATCAATAATCGTATAATATTTATAATTATTATCATGAATATATCATGAATTGTTTTAATGAGAAGAAAAAAGAATTTTTGTTACTTGTACACACGTAAAGAAGGTACACTGAGAAGCAAACACGAGTTTGGGCTTTCGTGTAAGATAGTGCAAACGAACACGCCATCCATGAGTTGGTTACCAATGACGACCGCGCTCGTCCGCATCTATTGCATCAAAATACAAATTCATTTCTGTATGTGCACACATGAACAAACTATAAGATGAAAGGGGACATCATTACTCATTGATACATTTTTGCTTCTCAACGATGTCGTAATAGCGACACATTTCCATCTGTACATAATTATTAATACTAACTAATCGAAAGCCATTATATGTTAGTACTAGCAAGTGTTATACGTAAATTCAAAATCCTAACACTATGCCTCATAACTCTAAAATGTTTTGCTGGTTCATTGTAATTAATCAATTATTTGTGTACTCTAAAAAAAATATGGGTGTGAATCACGGTTACCGTCTCCGATCCTTTGATCCGATTTCTGAACGAATCTTTGGCTCTCCGACCGTTAGCTGACCGTTCTGAATTTGAACTTCTTTTTTTTTAGAGAAAAATATAGCTACCTCGTTGGTTTTTGGCTAGAAACTCCAGATTTTTTTTTACAAAAAAGATTTAAAAAAATAAGTATATTGATATGTGATACAATGTAATAAGTCTGTATAATATTCGATCACAGCGGATATAATACAATTTTTGTGTTTGTATACATTTTCCATTCATGCGCGCCAATTATTTGTCGATTTTGAAACACATTTCTAAACTAAAGCTGTAACCGTATCAATTAAATTGACAAGCAATTTCTTTTTCTCTCTAATGAAGAGAAAAAGAGGAAAAATGAATCGTGCAAAAAATTTAACTAAAAAGAACAGGTCTAATATTAATGCCAATGAGCATCTTAAATACCTGTAAAGAATTTATTGCGAAAAATATATTACTCCCGCCAGAATCGATTCTTATTGCTTGTCTTATTTCGTCCTTGTTATCGTTCATTTAAAAAAGATACATACTTCATATTCCTAGACATCCCTACATGATCGAATTAATAAGACGCCTGTCATGGAATGTAAGATTTGATCCTGGCGATATTGATATTGGCGCAATAAATTCTTATAGATATTTAAAATGCTCATTAACATCAATACGATGGGGTAACCACTCTTAAATTCTGATGTACAACCCGTCAGAAGTCTGATAAAGTCTGTCGACGTTCAATGAAGTCAAATCCGGTAAAGTCCGTCGAAGTCCGGCATAGCAATAAAATTGCACGTCTATGACAGTCCGTGAAGTTCGATGAAGTCCGGAAAATCTGGCAAAGCCCAATAAAATCCGTCAAAGTCTGACGTCTAATCCGATGAAGTCCATGGCAGTCTATGAAATTCGGTGAAGTCTTGAACTCAGAAGTCCAGATGTATACCTATTTTCTGAGTGATTACCCCCCTCGCATCAATATTATTAAGTTGACTTGCCAATTCGTGATACTGCGATTCCAGCTTTGAGCTTTCAGTCCAGGACTGAAAGGCGTTTCAAGACCGACAAATAATCGGTGCGCAGTTGAATATGGAAAATGTATATAAATTCATGCACAAATATTATTTTGCATCTATCCGCTACCTGAAAAAAAAAAATAATAAATTTAATCCACATCCATATTTTTTTGGAGAGAAAGAGTGAGTAAGTGAGAGAGGTAAGCGTATGTGTTGTGTGAGTGTGTGAATGTGTACACATGACATATATGTATAATACGATATAACACAATGTAAAACACGACATATATATAATTGAAACTTACAGATATTATGGCTTACAGACTAAATTCCTGAAATCTGCTGACATGTCTTTTATTCGGTTTAATTATCGTATTCTTATCATAGTAATTTAAAAATTTCAAACGTGAGCGCGTACATATATGTGTGGTTAACAATCAATCTTTATTATTTACATATGAAGAAGTGTTTCGCTTCATTTTTTTTTGTTTTCATTTTCTTCTCTCCGGGACATAAGTAATAAGCTGGCTTGATTTTTCTCTCTTTCTCTCTCTTTATCTATCTCTCTTTCTCTCTCGAACTTTTAGCATCTAACTGCAATTAGATAAAGAATACAAAGCTTAGATAAAAGAGTGCGTCGTTGTTTTTGGCATTTTTTTTTGCCGTTATTGCAAGAGAGGATGTTGCTTCCTCTTTCGCGATAAATTCCGCGCGAACGCGAAATGTTTACAATCTCGTTAACATTTATTTTTCATTTAGCTATCATTGATATTATCAATAGCATAGTATATTTTTTGCTCTTAAAGTGTAATTATCCCTCTTTTCTTAATGTTGAATTATATCTGATTATGACAAGCCCGATTTTGTATTAACTCTTAATTCTTTTCTTACTCTAATTTTTTGAATAATCAATGTTTTCTATTTCTTTTATTGAATTAAGTATAAGAGATTGAAAATTTTGATAGTTCGATCTGCGGCCATATTTCCATAAGAATCCATATTTCAATAAGATATATCGGATTAATACCGTCTGTCACGGGAATCCGAACGCGAGCGGCGGTCTCGGCTGCGACTCCGAGTCAATGACCTCCTGCGGGGGCTGCGTGATCTCGATCTAAAAGATTACCAACAGTTAGACATCATCTTCATTTTGAAATAGCAAACGAGATTATTAGAACGCGTTTCTTCACTCCGTTACAAACTTTGCAAACAAATATGTTAATATTCTTTTTTAAATAATAATGTTCAAAACATTATAATTATAATAATCGTGATAAATAATCGTTATACCTTTACTTTTTCTCAAATTAAATTGCTAAAATGCAAATTATGAATTTAATGTATTAAATCATTTTTCTAATTAATATTTATTCTCTAATCATTTACTAATTAACATTGTTTGTGCACTTTATTTATTTCGCAATTATCACTTATTTATTGTTACAGCAAAGAAACGATAAATAAATGGTAATGCTTGCAATTTGTAAAATTAGAACGTCAAAATTTGTTCGAGATGGAGCGAAGCGGAGCGATAAAACACAGATACGAAAAATCATCGCAAGACAACTGTAAGAGAATTAGGATTATCTAGTTCCTATTTTATCTAAAGGGTGATGTATCAAAACTATATAGTTAGACACGATTAATAATGAATTAATATAAAATGACGTCTCACCAATCAAATGCTAAATCAAAGAAAGTAGAAACAATAATTTTAGTAGTAAATTAAATTTCATTAAATTTTATCAACAAATGTTACATCTCGTATATATCGATTTTATTTATATTATGTGTATCAGCTGGAAGTTCTCTGATTCGATTACATTTTTACAGTTCGTTTATAAAAATTCGGTCAAAAACAATTTCACTTCCTTAATCAATTTCTTGGAGATTTTTGTTCATGCAATCCCGACAAAATGCATTAATTGTCGAAATCAGACAGAACTCCTCGCCGAAACAGCTACAAATCTAAAACAAGAATTATAATAAAATAAAAAGATATATATATATATATATACACATATATATACATATATATATATATATATCTTTTGAAATGAAAAATGAAAAAAGATAAAGATAAAAAATCTTTGAAAATCGGTGAAATACCAGAACTGTGAACATGTACTGGTGGTTGGTGGTGGTAGTTGGGTGGTGGTGGGATGGTGTGTAGTAGGTGGTGATTTCGCTTATTTTGCGTGATCATTTTGCTCGAGGAGTCGAAGGTCGAGAAGATCTCTCGGCGGCAACTCTCGCGAGCTCAGTTGTTGTTGCGGCTAACACACGTCCCTAAGTGATGGTCGACGAGTAGCAGTAGCAGTAGTGGTAGTAGTAGTAGTAGGTAGTAGTAGGTAGTAGTAGTAGTAGCGGTAATACTAGTAGTGGCAGTGGCAGAATAGAAACGTCGGTCTCGAAACGGCGAACAGTCGGGAAGACAGTCGATCGTAGTCAAATGAAGAGACGCGGCGCCGGTGGATAGAATTACTATGCAGAAATTCTTTTTTTTTCGTTTTGTTTAATAATTTGCGTCGCGATTGATTTCGTTCACGAACTGGTGGTGAAGGCCGGTTGTGGGTGACATTTTTCTCACGGTGACGAATTTTACTTTTGACGATTGATTCGATGTGTGCCGCCGTCCCCCTGAAAGCTGAGACGAAGAGTCGAAGAAGGTGGATCACAACAACACCCGGTGGTCGGTTGATTGGTCGGTTGGTGGTTGGTGGTGGTGATGGTGGTGGTTGGTGGAAGAGTAGTAGTAATAGTAGTAGTGGTGATCGAAGGGGAGAGTCCCGCAGTGGAGCGACGGACGATTTTTTTTTTGGTTCAAGACGACTTTTATTTCCCGCAGTGCAACGACGACGGACGAGGGGGAGGGGGACAGCAACGGAAAGAAGCAAAGTTTTTTCGCTGTTTTTTTCTTTTTTTTCCGAAGGTGGCAGTCTCGAGCACAGGCGCTACTCCGGCAGCGGCGACGGCACCCGGAAACTGTTGGTTTTCGGTTGTTGCACCGTTGTGTGCTGTGTGCAGGTCGCAACACCACAACGCACAACATCGACGGGCGACGTGACGTGACGTGACGTGACGTGACGTGACAGACGTACGGACGACTTCCTATATATTCGGTGAACTTGGTGATGAACTTGGTGGTTGGGAAGTTAGTGGGCAGGCAGGCATATTTTTTTTGTTCAGTTTTGTTTGATTGACGATTGCGAGACTGACGATTCGCTTTTTTTTTTGGTCGCGTACGCATACGCTTTTTTCACGGCGGCTGTAGAAGTAGTAGCAGTAGAAGTAGAAGTAGTGGTAGTAGTAGTGGCGGGGAGACGAGCAGAGCTAGGAGCTGACGCTGGTAGAATCTGCAAACGTCAGTTTTAGCAATATAATCATACATTATCATACTCCTGGCCACTATCGCGTATCTCTTACGTTTCAAATTCTTTTCTTATGTTTTCGCGAACTTTCGTCATTTCAGGATAAAAAAAAATAACAAGAATTTGCGAATTGAAAAACGAAATGTACAGTCGTGGACAAATAAAGTTGCGCGACACTTTTTTTTTTATAGGTTTCTAATATAATTATAAATTTAATATATATAATATATATTTTACAGGCAACTAATATTTTGCAAAAGCGAACCACAATTGATGTATCTTTAGTCTAGAGACAGTCTACGCCAATCGTAGTTCGCATTTGCAAAATATTAGTTCGTCTCGAAACCTATAAGAAAAAAAAAAGTGTCGCAACCTATTTGTCCACGACCGTACAATTGCACGCGCGCTCGCTTCTCGCCGTTTTCACCGATCGATTCTTGCATTCTCGTTTATCCTAGACTGCCCACTCGAGTACGTACGAGAGAAAAAAAAAGAAAAAAAAAAGAAGGGAGGACCTCTCTTGAGTGCTTCCGTGCTGATTGACTCGAATATCTATAATGTGATGGATGTATATATCGCTTCCGCACCACGTTCTCGTCGCGACGCATCAAGCATGTATTGTGACGAAATGAATTGATAAGTAGATAGTAAGTACAGATCACACCAATCACACTTTCATACGTTTGAATTATTGAGCGTGCCTCATTCATGCCACGGTGCGTGTGCGATGAGAAGTGATGAAAGCAGTGTTTCTTAACTTCTTTCGATATCAAAAGTCCCGACAGCGACAATAAATTTCTTTATCTTACCTTATCCTTTTTTTTAATATATATTACTAAAATAAAAAATCTAAACAAGTATCGGACACTCAAATTAATTCAGCATACATTCAATTAATTAAACTGAAACGTATATTATGCTTTTTGCCAACAAGAAGTCATTCTTCGCTATTATTACTAGAAATAAATCTGTCTTCGTAATTTCAACAATCTTGAAGTCAAGTTATCATGAAGTCATTAAAAAAATGCTAAACCTTTCTAGTAACTTCACGATAAAAGATTAAAGTAATGCATTTAATTTTACTCCCTCTTATCAATTTAGACACCGAGAAGTCTCCCATTTTGAAGTAAAGAGTAAAATCGACAATAGCACGATAAGTGAACGCAAGTTCATACGCAAAAATTCCGAAGTTGCGGTTTTGTTGCTTCCGACGCTATCACACATTTCTGCAATTCGCGACCCTGCTTCTGCTTTGTTATAATTATTATTTCTATATAAATCCCTCCTCATTTTCGTCTACCATCGCACAGTTCGTTCAGTCCTCTCCTCCCACTTTCAACTCAAATACCCATTAAGTACTATTTTTTCTTTTTCTTTTATCGCCACTCGAGTACCTATGATTCGCCGAAAACGTAATCTACTCTCTAAGACTTCCTTTAGTTTTCTCAATTACGATTTTCGGCCGCTTACGGAAAGAACGGTGACGAAACAAATAGCGAAATCAGTTTCTATATGGAAATTTTATTGAATTAAATTTGCAAATTTCGCCAATTAATTCAATTCCATCATCGTTCTCCGTTCTTTAAACGCCTCTAGTGAATATAATTACAATCCCGTGATAAAAATAATGAGTGCAAATATATGTATACTACACAATACGCAAGCGATAGTGTATACCTACTGACTTGACATCCCGTTTCGCCAGGATTCTGAAAACTTTTGCGAAGCTAAGTAAAAAAAAAAAAAAATATTCAACTAGCAGAGAAAAAGAGAAGGAATCAATTACCTTGAGTAGCGGCTAATCGATGATCTCCGCGGACTTCTCGACCAGGACCTACAAAAGATTAAGAATAAACCAATGTATGTCTGCCAAGTGAGTTGCCTCGCGTCACACTTTGAGAGATTTTCATTTGTCTTAGCACCTGAAAATTTGCGGTCGACGGCAAGACGGGGACAGAAAGAAAGAAGCGAGAGTGAAAGAAGCGACGTATTTATCTGCAAAGACTGTAAAGGGGAATCCGGGAGCTAAGAGGAGCGGGAGTCTTACCTCGGGTAACGACCAAGGGATTTCCTACGGGGGCTGCGCGACCTGGACCTACAAATTTGTTTAAAAAAAAAAAAGATGTATCATACAAATCCGATTGTTTGCTAAAGCATATGGAATACGAGAGCATTGCAATGGAAAAGAGAAACAGAGCGATAGAAAGAGATAGCAAGACATGAGTGTTGATACCCAAGGCAACCAAGTGCTAAGAAGAAAAAGACTGTAGGAATCTCTAAAAAAAACGATCCAACATGTGGAGAATATATGCTTCACATTTACGTAACAAGTATATTTTGGTATTTTAATTATATAATAAAATGAAAAATATATATATATTATATAGCTTGTTAATAGTTTTCCGCATCATCCACGAAGTATTATTACAAATGCGTTTTTCTTTTGAAGTGATATGACGCATGTCAAAAAAACTTTTAATGATCTCAGATCTTAAGTCCCCGAAATTGAGCGTAAACAGAAAATATCTAATGAAAGAACTCAAGCCTGAATCTGAAATTATAAATTCTGGACAGCATAGAATTAAATCAAATTTAAGAGGGAAAAGTTTAAAAGTATTTTACTGTATATTTAAGCAGTTAAAAATTTTTTGATTAACAAATAACAGAATGTCTTGCGTTAACGTCGCGCCGCAGGAGTTGTGTACAATCTAAGAGACGTAATTTTCGTTTGAAATAAAAACACCAAATTTTTTCTTAATTTTTATAAAATTATATTTAATTTATATGAACTAACAATACTACAAAAAAAATTAAACAATTTTTTTTGCAAAAAAGAATTAAATTTTTTCTTGAAAATTTTAACTCTTTTTTTTAAATCACCATAACTTATCCAATTTTTGAAATTTTTAAAGTTTTATTAGTTCATATAGAAGATAATTTTATAAAAATTAAGAAAAAACTTGATTTTTTTGTGTGTCAGACAAAAATTACGCTTCCTTGATTGTACACAATCGAACAACTCCATTTTTTTTCAATGCTCAAATATACAGTAAAATACTGTTAAACTTTTGAAATTATTCACTTTCATTTTAGATAAAAAAACATTCTTAAAAATCACTGTTTTTTTAGTTTTCTTGTAAAGATTCCCCCCTTAATTCATTAATCATTAACGTTTAAATTCTTTAAATTGCGCCAAAAGATTTAATATCTGACATCATAATTGGAAGCAATTAATATTAATATTGTGCTTGATATATTTAATTCTTAAGAGCAGTTAGAAATCCGACTTGTTCCTCACAATCTTTTGCCTTGAAAAATTCGTATTTAGTGCAATATTTCCTGGTCCGCGCGAACATGCAGTGTGGATTTAGCCGCGCTCTGGCTAATCCTCAGAATTAACCTTCCACCATATTCATGCAGGCTTACACATCTACGGTGATATAATCTCTAGAGACGTTGTGCGGCCTAACTTAAATTTAAACAGTCGGCAATCTCAAACTGCGAACTCACGATCGTGAACGAGAAGGAGGAGGATTAGCCAGACACACGACAACGAAAGAAAAAAAAAACACGATATATAATAATATAAATATGCAAAAACTAAATATGTATATAACGATAGTCCTAGACAGAGATACAAGGGACAATCGAGTCTCGCGATGGTAATGTGCACGAAAATGTATTCACTGGGGAGTGAAAAAAGACTGATCAGTGCTTCGTTTTGCTGATAAGAGCGTACCCTTGCGTCCGTGGGCAAGAGGGAAGCTCCTCTGCCCACCATGAAATACCTACGTTGTTGAGGAACACTTAGTCACGTCGCAGCTCTAATGTTCGTTTTCGCTGTGAAATGCGCGACTGCTGCGAAATACCGTATCCCTTACCTGGAATAACGAGGACCTGGTCTGCGGCCTCCTCCACCACGTCGACTTCTTCCGGAGGACATCTCGACTCGCACTCTAGTGCCGCAACATCGTCTGAAAAAAGATGAAACATTTTGCATTCTCGACACTTGTGAGACAATGATCTTGCTGTGTCAAAATTATTTTTCTCTCGCTTTGCATAAATCAAAGCTTAAAAATAAAAGAGGCTGTATCAATTTTAAAGATAATTGCAAGATAAATAATTGATACTCAATAACGCATTGCAAATGAGCTTTTTAAATAATAAATAATAATAAATAGACATTGTAAAGCGGTGAATAGAGAGTATGTAGCTGAGATATATATGTTATATATGTGTATGTAGACTGCGTCGTTGTCGATTGTCCTCTTTTCCCTGGACATCGTCCTCTTTTTTTTTAAGGCACCCAGGATAACGTTCAGGTTTTAAGAAAATCTAAATATTTTGCATCGATTCTTCCCGCGCTGTACTGTTTTTAATTCTGATCTGCAATAGGTGCGGTAAGCATAACTAAGTATAACTAAGTGCGAGAAAAATAATCGACTATGATTGATCAGTTTCTTACCAATCTCTAAGGCTTACTATATCTATCAATAAACAATGTTAAATAATAATTGTAATTATTCATTAACTGTTCTGATCAATTTCACTAATCTACATGCACTTTTGTAAGCGTCCGGAGCGAAATGTCCGAGGATTTCTGGCCTGTAAGTAGTTTTGACTTACAAACAACAACAAAATTCTGATATGGTAACTCTATACATATATGTTATAATATAACATTATTTTTTTTCTCACTTTGAATAAACAAAAATCAAAAGAGACTGTATCAAGTCTAAAAATAATTACAATTACAAGACGAGTAACTGTCAATAATCAAATCACAAATAATCAGAATTTTTTAAATAACAAATAATAAATTGTATACATAATTTTTATTTTTTTCCCATACTATTTATAAATTTTGTTCATATGTGAGCTTTAATAATGAGTTGAGAAGACTCAGGACCGGTTTCACTATCTCTGATGAAAAGGATCCTCGTCTGTTTTATTTATTGTTGAACGCGGTTATTTTTCAGTCTAAAATTTTTCTAATTCTCTTTTCAGATTTACAAATTATTTTTAAAATTAAAATATATAGATATTAATCTACTATCAAGTCATACCAATTAACTTTATGCCGAAAATAAAAAAAATTTAAGAAATTCAAATCGCTTTACATACAGCTCTCAGTTCAACAATGGCTAGAGCCAATATTTGCTTCATACAAAGATTCTAAAGTGTACTTATATAAAATGGAAATGGCATGATCTGCAAATTGCACGCTAAAGAAATAATATTGAGTTTTTATTTATTGAGAATTAAATTCAGATACTTAATAAGAAAGATTGGTATGCTTGAAAACTTATGTATATGTGTACTACATTAATGACCTAGTTTACACTGAGCACTTGATACGCATAGTAACTTTCTGTTAAATTATCTTAATTTTGGCGATGTGCGTATATGTGTATTTAATTAATCATTTTGATGCATATTATATAAGATTAATACATTTTTTTAATGAATTGCTGAAATTAAGATAATTTAATAGAAAGTTATTAGTTAATACGTGCATCAAGAGCTCAATATGTGTGTAAACTAGGTCACCGACGAGACGCTATTGAAGACCGACAATCTTATGGGAGTTAGCGTGGCTGTTAAAATTTAAGCAATTAGCCAATAATATATTAATTTTATAATTTATTATTAGGCAAATTTTTTAGACATGTACATATATTTACAACTTGCTAATAATTAATTTTATTTAAAACTGAATTTTTATAATTATCATCCGTGTTTGATTCTCTATAAAGATGGTATCAGTAAAAAAAATTGTAATTTTGCAGCAATATATAAGTATAATATTATAGCGTTATAAATATTCATTATTTATATAACATTTGAATAATAACAAATTATAATTTTGATAATGCATTATTTAAATATTTATGTTAACAATTGCAAATTTATGTCAATAGTCGATAATATCGACACTCTTTAATTAGTTCAGGGCCTCTCGGGCCTCTCTAATGGACACGATATTTGCTCGACGGTCTTAATGGTCATTTAATAGTATCTCATTGGTGATATTAGGACAACAGCGCATGCATACATGTACATAAATTGATAAAACGCTTTCGTAGGTCGATCATGTAACTTCTTCTTTCCGAAGGAGGAACTATGAAAAATAAAAAATTTCTCTATTAACTTCAAAGATCAAAATTTTCACTTTTCACATTTCCTAGTGAAAAAGTTACATGATCAATCCAGTTTAGAATTCCTCTAACTTGATCGGCCGATTACATTTCTAAATTGTCAATTGCAAAATTTAAAAGTGCTTATCCCTAATCTCTTAATTATTTTAATCAAACTAAAATTAAATTATTTTCATTATTTAATTACTAATTAAAAATATACACTTTACATAAATTACATTTGCAGAAAATGAACAAGAAAAACAAATACAATTAATTTTAAGTTTTATTTTGCATTTGACAAATCTTAAATGTCAATCAAGCTAATCAGAGCTCATGAGACAGAGATTATGATAATTTCTCCTTGTCATTGTACAATTCGTTACTAGAAAATTTATCAGTTTGTCATTATTAGATCTGTTCGTATTGTTTAAAATCCCCAAAAATGTTAACATTAAAATAAGATAAATATATATTCGGCGGTTAGAAAGAAAGAAAGCAATAACTTCGAGAGTCCGAGACGAGGAGTCAACCACTACAAAAAAAATGTACAGCGATTACTAATTATGGCAATACAACACACTTTACTGCTAGCATTGCTTTTGTATTTCTTTTCTTTCGTATTATCAGTAATATTGCTATCTGTATTTTCTCATGTATTGCCATCTATTAACTTATATACCTGCAAACTATTGCTATATATTGATAGCATATTGCTAGTATTGTACTGCCGCAATACTAGCAATATATTCCTAAAGAAATGTACACCCATGGTAATTGATTCTGTTTCTCAGAAATTTTCACAAACTCAGAAATGATCACTTTTCTACATTAATGCTTATAGTCCATGCACAATTAACGAAATGAAATCGTGCATGGACTATGAACATTGATACAGAAAAGTAATCACTTCTGAGTTCGTGAAAATTTCTAAAGGACAGAATCAATTATCATGGATGTACGCTAACTCTCATAGTGGTTGACCCCTCGATCCAATTGCAAAAAGTGCACATAACTCGAACAGACATATTGGCATGATTTATCATTTGACATTACTTTTTCAATCTCATTTAATTAGCATGATATAAGAATTAGTAATTCTTAAATACTCACGTCCCATCCAATCCTCTCACAGCATCTTCAGCATCCCTTGGATCTTCAAACTCCACAAATGCGAAGCCAGGGGGGTTTCTTGCCACCCATACATTTCTTAACGGACCATACTTACTGAAGGCGCTCTCGATCTCATGTTTACTAGCGCTGCTGCCTAGATTACCAACGTAAACTTTGCAGGACAGATCCCATTCACGATAGCGTGACATTTTTCAAATCTGCAAACAAGCGTCATAAATAACAACATAATTCCAAAAAATTCTTCGACGCGATGCGAGTATAGTACAGTCATGGTATTGTCTCTAGATTAAAGATAGTACACCAATCGTGGTTCACATTTGCAAAATATTAGTGCGTTCCAAAACCAAATTTAAAAAAAGTGTCGCAACTTATATGTCCATGACTGTACAAATGTAAGAAAATACAAGATACAGGAAATACATCCAGTTTATATGTTCTCAGTCTAAATTGTTAAGAGAAGTAAACAAAAGACAAAATAAACTCGAAATATTTATACGAAAAAGAGACGTTATTTATAAATCAGTAATCCATCATCGATCTTTCGAGGGCGTTCAGCTTCCCACCTAAATACATCTATTTTCTTCATTATGTGCTACAAACACCCATGCCCAGTAACAAAGTAAGCCTGGACATAACAAACCCCCAAAAAATCTTGAAAAATTCCAAAAAACAACAAAAAAAAGAAAGATTAAATATTGCTAATCCGTCTAATTGAAAATCGCAGTTTTGCAGCAACTCAATTAATTTTCTCAAGATTAGATTTGCCATTTTTTTTGCCCCTTTTCCTATCTGCCGATATATTGCCGATCAATTCCGTAAATAAAAATTTGCGATACAGGTCGAAAGTTTTTTCTTTAAAAGTTCCCTTCTTCGAAATTTTCTTCTAATAATATCCTGTCATTTCTGTTACCGCCATTGCACCGACCGGTAGGTGTACAGGTGTAGGCGTATGACGCCGTACAGAGCATTTTGTAACGATAAAGCTGAATGCAGAGAACGAGATGATTTTAATCATTTCGTTCTCTGCATTCAGTTTTACGAAATCTTGTTGTACGGCGTCATATGCCTATACCTATATGCCTACACGCCTATACCGGTCGGTGACTGTCGGCGCAATGGCAGTCAGTGCCCGCGTGGTTTTGTGTGGATTTCAACATATTCGTGAGTCTCCAGCCATCGATTGAACGAGCGCGATCCTACAAATGCTCCTCGCGAGGATTCGTTAAACAGATCGAACGGATATTTACCTGGAGTGAAGTAGCCGCTGGATAAAGTTCCGCACCGTGCTATAACAAGATGGCGTCTGTGAAGTAGCAAGAAGCAGCACTTGCAAACAATCGAAGCGAAGCGCCAGCCGTCAAGCCGAAGCGGTTCCCTCGCTATTTTTCGCTGCTCATCGCGGTTCGGCGGCGCCACAGTACCGGATGTTGTATTCGTCAAAATGGAGTGCGCATGCGCGAAATTAAGAGGATGCTGAAAAGTCGGAATTACCGACAATTAGGGCGAATTCACACCACCTTGACAGAAAAGCGGAAAACAGAAAAGCAGAAGCCAATCAGAACTCGCACTGGTAGCAAGAAAAGTAGAAAGCAAAAACTTATTGACTACCAACTCGAATTCTGATTGGCTTCTGCTTTTCTGTTTTCCGCTTTTCTGTCAAGATGTGAATTCGCCCTTAAGCCGTAAAAAATTGATCAATCGTAATTGATTTTTTTCATATTCGACTGCGATTGGTCCATTTCTTACGATTTAAGGCTTACAACACCTATTGTATTTCGGGACTTAAAGACCGTCAGTCCTGGGCAAATTTTCGTGCCAGCCAAATCAAATTGTTTAATTATCTACAATACACGTAAATTGCATTGCACTACATTTAGTGAATTTGGCCAATTACAAGATAAGATAAAAATTAAGTGATCTATATGAAAAGAAAGGAACGATGAATCGAAATATAAAATGATTCCGACGGCGCTGTGTCTCATTATTCATATTATTTAATTCATCCTTACAAGTTAAGATAAATTCGATTTATTTTAACTTAAGTTAAAGAGAAAAGGAATGAAATAGCCTTCAATGCGTACATACATACAGTGTATACAACTCCCATATAATAAATCAATTTTAGGTAACAACTGTTTTCAATATTTATCAATTTTTCTGTGAAATGTTAGCCAAATTGATATTCAAATTTAATAATAATTTCATTTAATTGAGGTGAACTTTTGCTATACTTGCAAGAGATATATAATATAGAAATATGGAAAAATATATATTCACAAACATATATATTATAAATTCTACAATAATCTAAAAAATTTTCTACAGTAAATGAATTTCTCTTTTAGAATAGAAAAGAATTTTATATTATATATTCAATTTTCGACTTTTTGTCGAAATTATCGAATTTTCGTAAAAAAAATAATGCGAAGAAATAAAACGTATGATCTTATTATATGAAATTCATCTCTTGCTGTTTTAATAATTTCGAACCTGAAGTAGAGCGAAGTGAAATGCATTTTATAACGTTTTCTGTGAAAATTAACTATAAGTTCAAATGACGAGGCATTTCTGTCTGCGTGCGTACATTTGGTCAGAATTCTCGCTAGAAAGAAAATCGTGTTTCCAAGTTTTTTAAACTCTCATTATACATTAGCTTGCTTATTGTCTTTACTAAAGTTTACATATTCTATTAATTTTTAAGGTATTTATACATAAATAATCTCGTAATCACCATTTCTATTTCGAATTTGTAACTTAACACTTATACATTTTATAAAAAATATTTTTCACTTCGTATTATTTCTTAATGAATGAATCTGGAGAATCTTTAATAAATCCCAGTGAGTCTCTAGTCAGTGAAGAATTAAAAGGCAAAGTCAAGTCTTACGTCAAATTACGATAAATATTAAAATATGACAATTAAAACAATATCCTAAAAATTTTCTTTGCCTTCCTTTTTAAATCGAATGTATGGCGAACATTTTTCGACGCACTAAATTTATACAAGATATTTATGATGAAAAGATTCCTTGCAATAGGAATATCTCACGATTAATGGACCAGTCTCTTGTAATCTATTTTCTCCAATTGCACCAAAGGTCGCAGCTGTTCCGCGAATATCCTTATGTCCTCTGCTATGGCGTCTTGCCCGCTGGGGGCCAGCACACTAAGCTCCACCAAGTAGCTCTGTGATATCATCTCCGGCACGCTCTCTGGCACCTTACCCTGGTTCACCTTGAAGATCTTCGACACGGTGATCTTCATTCGCCCCTTGCGAAACATGTAGCCGCGAGTAACGTACTCGAAGTCCAGCTTGCAGCCCAGCTCGGTGAGAAACTCCACCACGGTGTTGCTGGTGGCGATGTCGATGCTGCTGCGAACGATTGTGGGTCGTGATTTATCGCCTAACTCGGGCTGGCCGATGTATCGTAACTGCCATGGCATATCCGCGTTGTTGGGATCGAGAGTACGTCGCACTCGCAGCAGTAGCGGCTGTTCCTGCGGAGAGCCTCTGAAGAAAATCAAGCAAATAATTGCCACACGTCGACTCAGATTAGATTTGTCATAGCTACAACACATATGTAAAAACATGGAATTGAAAGAAATTAATTGTACCTGCGAATGCTGAAACACATCTCGTGGTCGTAGAAGCCCTCTGGTCCATGATCCACATTGTCGCACAAACCACGGAGTCTGTGCAGCAGTACTTCCACGGAGGTATCCAACACCGATCCCTGCAGCAGATACTCCTGATTGGGAATAATGTTCGACTTCAGTGCAGCGGTCAAACTGTCCATGGCAGTACTGATCGGAGCAGTCATGTTGGCTTATATCAACTTCGACGACAAGTAAACAGACTCGGAACTTGTTTCTGATGAGATAAGAGAAAATGATGAATCCCTGTTAAAAATGGAAATTACTGATACTTGTTTTGTGCGCAACTTGTACATACGGCTTTTTGCTTTTTGCATACCTCTGCTTTTGTATATTATCTATGACACCCAGTTGAACCTTCGCACATTCTTTTCTCTCGGGGGGGAAAGTTTTGTTCTCTACATTACATTTAACATCAGAATAAAATATTTGTGGACTTATGAAAGTCGAAATATAACAGTACCCTTCTATTTCAATAAATTTACATTCCGCATTTTTTATAATTCATATTCAATCAAATATGAATTTAAAAAAAGAGGATAATTATTTAATTCAGCACACACCTCAAAACAATATTCAAATTATGCGTTTTTGAATGAAATGAAAGAATGTGACAGTTAAAAGGTTAGAAACTTGTCATATTGAAATGTCAACACATAGAAGTATAGAATGCTCTGTGGTCGCATGCGCGTCAGCGGTCAGCGTCACATACGCATGCGCTTTATTTTACGGTACAGTAGAATGAACGAAGTTTGAAATTAGCAATCAAAATATACAAATAAAGCGCAATAATGTTCTGGTTTTTAGATGCGAATTAATTGCATGTCAAAAATTAACGTTTCTTTATCAATATTAATATTGCATCTGGTGAATTTTGGATTCAATGTAGATATAACTAATGTTTCAGTGATTTTAAAAACATCCGCACATTGGAAGGTAATTTATCATCCGTGAGAAATGTAAAAACAGAAGAATATAATATTGTTCATATATTGCGTAATAAATATACAAGTTTAAAATTTTAAACATGCCAAAGGCACGTAAAACACTTAAACTTACATTGATTGGTAAATATCTATTACTTTTTCAAAAATATTATTGTTATCTTTGTGAAATATTAAAATATATAAGTTTAGAGACACATCTTCACATAAATCGCATATATTGACTTTTTTATGAGACATATTTATAAATTATCAAAACAGTTCTTTACCTTTGTAGTATTTTATTATTTTTACGAGGATTATACCTAAATGAAATCAATAATGCTTTGTTTATAAAACAAATTTTTTTCTACTAGAAAACAAATAAAAACGAATTTATTCCATTTTATTATTATAAGTTAAATGTTAAATGCAAATTACATGCTTTTTTTCATAAATAGATATCTAATAAATATGTATTATTTTTATATAAATTTTACATTATATTATATATATATTACAAACATTATAGATATCAAAGATATAACTGAATAACAATAAGTTTTGTACAATTCAAAGTCATAATTTTCTATTACATCGTTCAATGTCCTGAAGCTGTAATGTCGTTTTCAGATGTAATTTGATAATTTCTTGCTATTTCGAACCTATGCTAATAATTATTTCAATCTATTCTTATTTATCCTTAGCAAAAACTTTCTTGTAATGTCATGTTAAAAAGAGAAAAGATTTTATTTTTTTATGTTAAATATATATTCTCTTCAATAAAAAAATCTTAAAATACATTTAACGATATTTTACATGAACGACTATTATTGTGTGTAGAATCTTTATGATCGCAAGAAGCAGTATCAAAAGCGAAATCTGGTAAAAGTGTACGTCAGAGTAAGAGACACATACTTGGAGATATTGCTCAGTATATGTAATAATATTATGATAACATTTACTGTAATATTGTCTCAGTTATATTTCTACACGTCTTGCACATTCTACAGGTACACCAGACGATCGAGTTGTCTTTACGTAGAAATGAACAATTTACATCGAAGACGAAAAGCGCAATCTCGTTAATTTAAGCACAATCTCAGCGTTCTTACCATTGTTCTGTGCGTGACGATAGGATTGACAATTTCGTACATTTTTCTCTCTCTTTTATTTTTCTATCAACTCATCCTAACGAATCTCCGACAATAGTGTACAGCGGCGCGTGAATACTGATAAAACTGTTAAAATGTAAACTCGTAATCATAGGTATATAGTGTAAATAGACCAAGTATAACATATATCACAGTAAAAATATTATTACTTTCATTCTTCCAATTGAGCGAGAATCGAAAGCATATACATAGCCGATTGGTAAATTTAATACAAAAGATTTTCATTAGTGGTAGTAAAAAATTTCTAGACATCGATTGAGATGAGTCTAAAATGTTGTCGGAACGTAGGTTAATTGGACTCACTCTTTTATAACTTCAAAAACATATTGGTTATCAAGTGTAAATCTAGTTATTGCTTTGTTTTTGCCATCAACTTATATATTCATTTCTACCAATAAATTAATATGAATTTTATTTTAATTTATCCAGAGAGTTATTAAAATAAAATTTAAAAATAAATTGGGCCGAATTTAAAATTAATTTACATACATAGAAATGAGATTTATAATTGAAACAAATAGGCGTACATGTACAAGTGATAACGATAAAACAAATTAAAAAGTAAACGTAGAGTAGAAACATACTATTTTCACGACAAAATATATTATAAGAAATTTTATTTATTTATTTATAAGATAATTATATATTACAAGAAAGGTAATTTATTTACGAATAACATACTTATGGAATTTTTTTTACTTGTATGTATTGTTTACATATTTATATTATAAAAAATTGATTTTTGACTTAAAATAAGATGAAATTTATTACTTTTCAAATGATTAATTTTCGATCATTAATCTTTGTTTAAATTACATAATTTACTGAATTGTAATTGCACCGTCAAATATAATCGATTCTCTGCTTTTTTCATGTGTTATTCATTTACCTATTATTTATATTAACAAAAAAACTTTAATCAATTAGTAGTTTCTTCAATTTGCTTTTAAAATCATGTACTTTTTAAATTTTCGTTTTTTTTTAAATGCCATCGCATTTAATGTTGTTTCATACCGTTCAAGTGCTTGAAACTGGATGAGCACACGTCGCATTTATAAGGCTGTACTTTACTATGAACACGTTTATGGACAGTCAGATAATCTTTCCTTGCAAACTTCTTCTCGCATATATCGCATTTATAAGGCCGTTCTCCATTATGAACACGTTCATGAAGAATCAGATAATCTTTTCTTGTAAACTTCTTCTCGCATACATCGCACTTATAAGGCCGTACATTACTATGAACACGTTTATGGAGAATCAGATATTTTTTCCTTGCAAACTTCTTCTCGCATACATTGCATTTATAAGGCCTTACATCACTATGAACACATTTATGGACAGTCAGGCTCGATTTCCATGCAAACTTCTTCTTGCATACTTCGCATTTATAAGGCCTTACATCACTATGAAC